CCGTTCCCGCAACTTCAGGGACTATAGGTCCCTGGGGTCACCCTCGAAAACGAACAGATTGCTTAAGTAGTCTCGTGGAAACAAAAAGAGGGGGGCAATGTAGCAGTGCATATTTCCATGTTCTAGCGGTAGATTCATTCGATTTTGTTTATCCTATAGATGGAAGTAGCATAAGGGGACAACCGCCAGGTAAGCTCTCTCACCCTCTTTCTCTCTCTCTCTCTCTCTCTCTCTCTCTCTCTCTCTCTCTCTCTCTCTCTCTCTCTCTCTCTCTCTCTCTCTCTCTCTCTCTCTCTCNTCTCTCTCTCTCTCTCTCTCTCTCTCTCTCTCTCTCTCTCTCTCTCTCTCTCTGAGCGCCAAAAGTGTCAGGTTCGGGTATCCAAACTCATGCTGCCCGTTTCAAAAAGCAACGGGTGCATGATGACGAATGTCATTGTCAGAAAGTGAAACAAGGAAGAATTAAAAAAAAAAAAAAATCTAAGAAGAAACATCTAAGAAGAAGCTAAAACAAATATAAAAATAAATCTAAAAACTAAAAAAGGAAAAGCGACAAACTTATTTGTTGCCCTATGAAAACAGGCAGCACCCTCGTCTCATCAGGGCAGATGCCCTGCCAGTGTCACTTCGACATCTGCCATCTGGCGGTTTCGTTTTAGTTTTGTTTTGTAGTGTTTTTTTTTTTGTTTTTTTTTTTACTATATCCGTTGACGCCTATCTTTTTAGTCTCATGTTTGTCAGCAAAATAGTTATTTTCGTGGCTAACCAATGATTTGATGCGGTTGATGCTCTGACCTCTGATCACTTCAAGGCAAGGGTCATGACAACAACGCCACCGGTCTTGAACTTGGCTGCAACAGAAGCATCGAAGGAAGGTAATCCCAATCTTTTTCTCTCTGACTGTATCCAACAGTTTAGAGACACAGACCATCATAAAAGTTATGCCGAATAAAGTGTGCTACGCATCCCACAGACAGAAATGAGTTAGGATTTCCTCTTGGATCCATTCTAAAAACGAATAGATAATTTGCCTACAAGATACCAAATTATACAAAGCTAAGATTGCGAAGTCAGTCAATGGAGGCATGCCCTTCAAGTTTGGGCTACTAAAGGCAGTGTTGCGATCTCAATACACAAAAACATAAATTGTTCCTTATTGACCAGTACATAGACCCAGGCGGGTCGTTGGGTCTGAATCAAATTCTATAGGGTTATTATGATGGTGTATGTCACTAATGATTATATAGCAAAAACAAAATTATTTTCAAATCTTCCAGGTTGGATCTTAGAAACAGAAAAATTTGTAATTTTTTGTGATTGAAACACAACATTTAATCCGGGCCTAGACTCTCCTTATCCGAGACCACTAAGGTTAGATAGCGTGTTGTTGATGTCTTTTTTGAAATCACAGAGCTTTATAATATTTTTCCGGTGATGAATCCAGAGGACCATAAATATATATATGGTATGACCCCTGATCAACTGATATTTTCCCCCAACCCTTTAGGTGTTTTGACTTTATTGCAGTCGGGATGTATTCTTGGATCGATGTGTCTTGTCCGAATACTAGGTGTCGTCAATCTCGGATCACTACCCAGTTTTAATTGACATTCTATCTATGAATTTTATACAAAAGGTTGCACCTGCATTTTAGACTACATGTAAATCGCTTGACGGATAAAATAATTTTGACATGGGTGAGTGACAAAATAAGAAGTTGGATGATGGATAAATAATTTTTTTATTCTGAAGACTGATGGCCAGAAGTTGGGCGGATTATCGTTAGGGAAATCTTAATAGTATTTTTCCAGATGAAAGTTGCAAACTGTAATTGGAGAGAATTAAAATGTAATCAAACAATAGAACAAAATGAAGCTCAAGTGAGTTTAAACCATTTTTTGAACTACTATTGGTTGTAAAAACAGAAGGATGCCCTTTGTCAATTGGAAACGCTAAAACTACAACAACAAACAAACTAGCTTGAGTGACTTAGAATCAGAGGAACAATGAGATATGACAAGATGACGAAACTGACATTTAGACCTCTAATCCTAAGGCTCACTAAAACAAAAAAATTAGAGAACTAATTCGTCTATTTGATTTACAATTTTCTGGAGCCACAAACACAGAGACTCTGTTCTTGTTCATGCTTAAATACTTCCATGACATAATGTCCACAAAGACGCCTTATGATCATTTTGACACATATATTTGGACTCTCAATTTTTGGCCAAAACGAAAGCATGTATAAATGCCAATACCAAACTCACCCTTGAAACTCCGTTAATACAGAGGGAGCTTTTGCAGGCTGTCACACAAATGACCTTGGGGAAATGTCCAGGCCTTGCCAGACTCCCCGTGGAGCCATTCCTTAGCTCATGGGAAGCATTTTTTCCTTTTTTAGGTCATATTTATAATAGGGTTTTGAAGACGGGTTACCTGCCTGGTAATATTGTTAAAGGAGTCATCTCTCTTTTATATAAAAATGAGATAAGAGAGAGGTGCGCACTACCGCTCGATCTCTGTCCTAAACGAGGCTTACAAAATACTAGCTAAGACACTTGCAATTCGTTTATTTGCAGAGCTCCCTCACTTAATGGGGTGGGAACAGGGGACTTCGAGAGCATATTAATGACGGTTTAGGCGCTAAAAAAAAAAAGAGGTGGCGGTGTTGTTATTGGATATGGAGAAAGCGTACAATAAAGTGGGGTGGGCCTTTGTGTCCACCACACTGAACAAGATGGGGTTTGGTGAAGGTTTTTCTAATTGGATCCGGGCGATGTATGCACAGACCACCTCCGTGGTGATAGTGGACGGTCAACTATTTGAGGAATTTCAAGTTCAGCTAACAAGGTCCCTTAGGCAAGGGTGCCCCCTGACTCCTCTTGTCTGTGTTCTTCAACTCTATATTTTATTGGAACACATTAGATATAACCCTTTTGTAGTAGGTCTGCAAGTTTCCTCATCCTTGCATTAAAACGGTGGAGCGATTCCATGCGATCTCAGAGTTGCATGCGAAAACTCTACCCTTCCATTGAAGGAACCTATAAGAATTTTGAAAGAGTATTGCTCCTAGTCGGATACATTCATAAATTGGTCAAAACCAGTTTACTTCTTACCGTCTATCTTCTCCTTAAAAGTTGACTGGGGTTTCATGTTGGTTCTTATGCGTACAAGTTTCCTTGACAGATTGCTTTAATCCCCAAGACCAGATAGTTGCGGACAAGGTCACGAGAAGAATCCATGGTTATTCACTCACGTTCATATGCCTTTGGTGCTCTTACTGACACATGCACAAGAAGACGAAGAAGAAGGAGAAGAAGGGAGGAGTCCCAAAGCTTGAGGGGCATCTGACGAAACAGGGCACCCTTGAGAGGCAGTTGACAAATCTTCCCTCTTGGCATAGCGCCAACTGACTGTGTTCATCAGACTTCGTATGGTGGGTTTTGAACTCATGACCTATGTTTACGAACAATTACGTTCGCGCAGGGGAGTCGTCCGTAACCATAGTTTTCCGTGACATAAATTTGTCGATTCCGGCCTGACGGGCCTCCCTCTGCGACCCACCACAGCAGGCTTTTGGTGAGATGCTTCACCGGTCCACAACTGACCACGGTCCGAAAGTCAGAACAAGGGACTAGTTGCACCGCCACGCGGGTGAGGTGCTGAGGCCTCTGTGTGCCCGGAACTTCTTGGTCTCCTTGAAATTTCTTCATTTGGCACGTGGTGATCAGTTTGTGTGGATTGAGTGACTACCGATGTTGTGGCCTTGTGATCCGTTGTGGTAAAAGGGCTAAAAGGAGAGAAACAATCTGTGTGGTCCCCACGGTGCCCGTTCCATCGGGCATCGAGGTCACAAGCGCGGGTGTGGCAGGGGGTGTCTTGTCTTGTTTTGTGTTTGTCCCCCTCTCTCCAAAATTGAGAACGAATCTGAACAAAAAAGCTGACCTGATGCATTCAATATGTTTGGGGCCCCAATCCTATTTTTGGGTGGTGAGTGGGCTGTGGTGAGCACTCACCACGGTTTTTTTCCCCCCCCTCCCTCCAAAGGCCGGCCTTGCCTTCTTCCACTCGGGGGCTAGGTCCCTCTAGCCAAAAGGATTGGATTTAAAGGCGGAATGTGGACGTATTCATGGCGAAGTGCAGGAAATTGCGATTGGACTGCTTTTCTGCATCCACGCAAGAAACATGTCCAGATTCAGGAGCTGAAACCAATCCAATCCTCTTTGCCACTGGGACCTCGGCCCCGGTGGTCTTTTGCTCTCACCCGCGTGGTGAGTGGTGGAGCGTGGGCGACCTTCCAGTGTTAAAAGTCGTTACTCACCGCCGGAAATCGAGTTTGGAGAGTGAAAAAAAAAAAAAAAAAGAGTTCGGAGAGTGGTGGAGCGAGGCTCGTAGGGCCGCCCAGATTCAGATTCAGAATCAGAAACTCTGCGCGGCGGCCCCGCCCAGATTCAGCATCAGTCAGAATTTGTTTCCCCTCTGTGGGCGGGGTCCGTGCGCGGTTTGAACTTATTGGTTTTTCCTTGAAATCCCTTCGTCCCCCGCGCGATGACGTCGGTGATCAGTCCGTGTGGAATGAGCGATGACGTCGCGGTGATCAGTCCGATGTTGTGGTAAACGGGCGAAAAAGATTCAAAAGAATCTGTGTGGTCCCCACCGTATCCGTTGCGTCCGGCATCGAGTGCACAAGCGGGGCGTGAGCACTGAGCGGGGGGTGTTCTGTATTGTTTCGTGTTCATCCCTCTGTCGTGCTCCTCGTGGGCATCATCTAAGATATGGCAGACCAGTCGTTATCGGCCGAAGAGAACGCCCGGGGCTAGGCCCCACTTGCACGAATTAAGAGATACCGACCGTAGATAGCAAAGATCAACGGCCGAAATCTCCTAATTTGCGCAAGTGGGACCTTGCCCCTGGTCATTCTCGCTGCATCTGGACTGAAAGTTGGCCCCAAAACGGCTATAATGACCGGGCGTTCTATTCGAGTGAGCACGCTAGGCCATGGGTACAGGGGGGAGGGACAGGCCGGGGGATGATTAAACCCAATAGGAGGAGGAGGAGGAGGAGGCAGGAGAGAGGAGAGAGGAGGGAAAGAGAGGAGCATTCAGCGGTGGTGGCTTGCGGCCATGTCCGGGTTTCAACTTAGTCTGTACCAAGTGCATCCACGTAGCGGTTTTGCCGCCGCAGGGCAGCAAGCTGCTCTCAGTGGAGATGGCCCGGGACGGGGGATGAGATCATCGTTGTATCTGTCCCGATCCCATTCTCTATGTCCGTCTCGACCTCGATCTGCGTCGGCGCCGGGGTCTCCAGCTTTTGCTGCTGGCTCTTGTCTGTCTCCTCCCCCTTCTCCACCATCTCCACCATCTCCTCCTCCTCCTGCTTGCCTTCGTTCCGTCGTCCTGCCGGGAGCGCGGTGCGGCCTGGGGGCGCGCGAGCTGCAGTTAAGCCATGGGCGTGGTGGTGTCGAATGGCGCGAACTCTTATGGGCGAACAGTCGGCCACGACAGCTCGAAAGGAGGAGGAGCTTTGCAGATGGAGGGGGGGAGGTGGAGGTGTGCTTTCTCTGTGCAAGAGCGGGCGGGGGGCGGATACATGGAGGGGGAAGGATGGCCGGCGGGCTGACACGTGGCGACCGGCTATGGCGTCGCCGAGTGGCTGGGACGTTGGATGGTTGTGCTGATGAAAGGAGTGGGGGCGGCGATCAGCTATGGCGGCGGCACGCCGCCGCGGCTGCCGCAGCATCGGGGAAGGAGGAGGATGACCTGGAAGAGGGGGAAGAGAAAGGGCTGTCGTCGTTGATTGATAGAGCAAGATCGGACGACTCCTCGCCTCTGCCGCACAAGTCATTAGCTACTGGAGACACCTCCCCTTCTTCGGCCACCTCCTCATCCCTTCTGTCCACGTCTCCATCCAATTCTCGTTCCTCGTCTTCCTCTCTTTCTCCTTCTCAGTTGGCTTCTTCTTCTTCTTCTTCTTCTTCTTCTTCTTCTTCTTCTTCGTTGAGGGATGGCGATGGTGGCAGTCGTCCTTCTAAGGAGGAGGAGGAGGAGGAGGAAGAGGAGGAGGAGGAGGATGAGATCAGCAGAAGAATCTGGGAACTGCTGAAGGAGGAACTTAACCTCCTGGTCGATTTGCTGCCTGAACGGATAAAGGTAAAACTTGCCAGTCATCCAAATTTGGACAATCTTATCGAGATTGTGATGGACTTGGGTAGAAGGCCGATGGCGCGATTTCCTGCTCCTCTGGGCGATGTGGTTCTTGTTGACGACAACGTCACTGCGGATGACATAGCGTATGCAGTTTCAAAGGTGAGCTTGCTGCCGTATTTACTTTCTTGCATTTTTTTTTCCTTCCCGAACATGATACGTAATAATACATAATAAATTAATGATACTAATGAAATAATAATAATAATAATAATAATAATAATAATAATAATAATACATTGAACATGGTCAAAATGATTAAAAAAAATTAAAAATCAATAATACTATAAGTCTATAATAATAATTATTACGTTTTTAAACGCTCTTAATGCTAGGAGAGTTTTATTTACTCCATGGAAATACAGGCGACCGTTTGTGTATTTATATTTTGTTTTCGTTTCTTAAATGGATCCTTTTTTTTTTTTTTTTTTTTTTTTTAAGTTTATTTTTCCCCTCCCTTGCTGAAGCGTAAGGGCGGGGGGCAACATGCAACCCCTTGATTATGAGGGGTAGCTATGCTTGCAGGGGTCTACTGTATAGGCTTAGGAGGAGTGGTTGGTAGGTATTAAAAAGGTGAATTTTAGAGAAGAAAAACGGAAAAAAACGAAGAACATTAAAAACGAAGCGTGAGTTGTCAGCTTCGTGTACTCAGCTATTTGTAAGAAAAAGCGAATTTTTTTTTTATTAAAGAAAAAAACCTGAAAAAACGACAAAAAAACAAAACAAATTCCGTCAATGGGGGCCCATACTGCAAGATCTCGCCGTGTTTTCCTTCGCCTGAAGGGATCTGCCTGCAGACAAAAATGATCCCGTCCTACCTCCCTCTCC